CTCATTTTTTTGTTTGAATCTTTTTCTATTTTGTAAACTGCCTTGATTCCTATGGAAACGGGAGGTATATGAAAGAATGTAGTAAATAACTTCAACATTTGCTTCATCCAAGAATAAAAGCTTGACGCTGTTTGATCTGTATAGTAAGTTATGTTTCCTTTACATTGAGAATGATATTCCATGTATATTCAAATATATTTTTTATTTCAAATATAATTAAAATTCTATTGTTTGATAATGAAAGCTACTCATCTTTCATGAGTGAAAATTGCTAAAATGATGTTTCTAGCAAAATACTGCCTAAAATAGATAACTGAATTTACATGGTTTTGCATTGTGTATATCATTAATTATAGTAGTTGTCTGACTGAGCAATTGACATATGTCAAAGAAGGCATGTATTGCTGACATCATCAAATTCTAGGTCCTGTGTGAAATGACATTTTGATTTGTTTTATAGCTTCTCAAACGAAGACACACTTTCAGTTACAAATATCAAAACAAATATCCAGCTGCTCCAATATTTTAAGGGTTATGTTGCCTACTGTTAACGAGCAGTGAAGCTCACCAGATGGTTGACTAATTTACATCCCTATTTACTGGTTTCATGCCAAAGCATAAAAAAAACAACCAAAGGGGAAAAAAAGAAAATGCCAGGGTGATTTTTTTTAAAAAAAGTTTATGTGATTCAAATTATTTTTAAAACAGCTTACGTGCTAATAATCCTCTGAACACTTGGTCACATTTTTCAGGTTCATGTATCAAACTACAAATTCTACGAGCAGCATATAAAGCGGTCCTAAAAACAACAGCATACAAAACCTGACAGGATTTTTCAGGGCTTTTTTTCTCATAGAATGCCCAGAATGGAGTTCCCGCACCTTTTTTGGACGGAACCTTGTAGGGTAGGCAAGGCGGGTTGTATGACATGCGTGAGTTCCGGCGCCTTTTTTTTTTTTTTTTTTAGAAAAAAAGCACTGGGATTTTTCAAAGAGACCAAATCTGTTGGGTTCAATCTTCTATGATTAAATGCAATAGCAACCTTCACAGGAGAATATATCCTGCATGATCAAGGTTTATATTCATGGGGAGATGTATAATCATGTACATTTTGCCTATAAATCTTCAGAAAAATTAGACGTTGTAAGAAGAGAGCCACAGCAGATGTTTCTTATAAATGTCTGTACATTTTTTTTAACATATGAAGAGAAAAGAGATGGAAGGGCTTTTTTCATGTCCCTATTAATGTGCTTTCCTCCTATCCATAAATTGGGAGAAAAATATATCAATTTAAAATGCGGTGCCCTCACAAATTATCTTACCACACCTCCGCAGTGCTACCCTTAGATAGTTTCAAGACAGTAATTTCAAGTAGCAAGTGGAGAATTCCTGCTATCTTTTCCTGTCCCACCCAGTTGGAGAACCATAACAAATTGCTGTGCTGAATCTGTGATAGGGCTGGACTGAGGCTTCAAGCCTTGTTTTTAAAATAAAAGTTAAAATTAATAATGTTTAAATATCATCATCATCGTGAAGTACAAATGACTAGGCTCAAATTATCCTACTTTGTGGTACATTATGTGAAGACATAGCTCTCTGGAAAGGCTCCAGTGCTGGGAAAGGTGGAAGGAAAGAGAAGAGGAGGAAACAGCAAGGTGAATGGACTCTGTTATAGAGATGATGGCTGCACCACTGAAAGACCAAATTAGGGACAGATTATTTGTCTATAAAGTTACTAAGAGTCAACACTGACTTAATTTTTTATTATGTACTGTGTGCTTGTTCTGATGGGACTGCTGATTTCCTGGGAGTCCTAGTGAACTATGAAATTATTACTGTAAGTTTGAATCAGTACATTTCTTTTACAGAAATAGAAGACACTCATGTCAACCAACCCTCCTCAGAACTTTCTGGGCAATGAGAAGAGTGATTTGAAATACAAAGCACTCAAGCTTTGTACAAAACACTGGGCGCTATCTAACAAAATGAAATTCAATGGTGAAAAAAGTAAGGTTCTATATTTAGGCAAGAAAAACCAAATGTACAGGGGGTACATTTGCTCAATAGTAGTAACTGTGAGAGGGATCTCGAAGTCCTAGTGGACAATCACTTAAATATTAGTCAGCAGTGTGCTGCAGCTGCCAAAAAAGCCAACACAGTGCTAGGCTGCATTAACAGAGGGATAGAATCAAGATCACGTGAAGTATTAATACCATTTTACAATGCTTTGCTAAGGCCACACTTGGAATACTGCATCCAGTTTTGGTCACCATGATGTAAAAAAGATGTTGAGACTCTAGAAAGAGTACAGAGAAGAGCAACAAATATGATTAGGGGACTGGAGGCTAAAACATATAAGGAACGGATGCTGGAATTGGGTATGTTTAGTTTAACGAAGAGAAGGACGAAGGGGGACATGATAGCAGTGTTCCAATATCTCAGGGGCTGCCACAAAGAAGAGGGAGTCAAGCTATTTTCCAAAGCGCCTAAAGGCAGGACAAGAAGCAACAGATGGAAACTAATCAAGGAGAGAAGCAACCTAGAACTAAGGAGAAACTTCCTGACAGTTAGAACAATTAGCCAGTGGAACAATCTGCCTCCAGAAGCGGTGAGTGCTCCAACACTGGAAGTTTTTAAGAAGAGACTGGACAGCCATTTGTCCGAAATGGTATAGGGTTTCCTGCCTGAGCAGGGGGGTTGGACTTGATGACCTCCAAGGTCCCTTCCAACTTTATTATTATTATTATTATTATTATTATTATTATTATTATTATTATTATTATTATTATTATTATTATTATTATTATTACTATTACTATTACTATTACTATTACTATTACTATTACTATTACTATTATTATATAAGCTTGAGACAGAACCTCTGAATATTTCTGTTTTATCTGTGTCCAATTTTCTAGGGGAATACAGTTTTTTTCCCCTCTCATGCACCATTTTACATGTGTGTGTATGTGTGTGCGCGTTTACCATCTCTCCAGCACATGTGTCACATATACATTATATGCTGTATATACACAAACAAAGATCAAATAGCAGATAATTGATCTACTATTCTATGAGTTGATATTCCAGTATAAGAATGGAATATAGTCTCACAGGTAAAACACCTGATGTCTGGCAATCAGTTGGAGTAGGAGCATTCCCACAGCAGATCTGCATGGCCAGCTAAAGCTAAACAGATCATTGTCCTTGATTGTGTCATCTCAAGTTCATCCCTGAGGTGTCCTTGATTGTCAGCTTGGGAAGTTTTGTCTTGGGAGAAGATAGAAAATACCACTTCCAAACTACTATAGAACTGAAGACCATTGAAGGTTGCCTCAGTAACAGGCTAGTTATGAGATGAAGGTAGCATACAGACATAACCTTAAAAATGATTAATAAAATACCTTTCAGCCACAAGAGATAGCATGAGAATAAGCTATAAATCCAGTCGATATTGGATTTATATTCATTATTATATTTTTGCTGAAAGGCTAGCCTACTGGCAAGCTCTGTGACACAACCATAAAAATCCATAAGTAGAACACAATCGTAATTCACTAATTAGAATACTTAATTTATAAAAAACAATGATAATTTCTAGATGTTTCTAGTGCCCTAAAATGGCCACAGAATGTGAGATGGGAATGTTACAGTCTCTACAACCCTATATTTTATCTTTTATCTTTGTTGTTAGAGTATTTTGTGGAATTTTTAAGGAGGCTAATGCCTTTATTTTCTCTACATCAAACCTCTGCTTCTAACTGGGAGAGGCATACTGTGACAAAATGCATTTTCATATGCAGTACTCCATGACAGAAAACAACGACATGAATTTGAACACGGCTAGAACTTGTGTTGTTTCTGTAGCCATAAGCAACAAATTTCATGTACAAACGCAAAAGAACAAAACATTTGTTCTCTGTGCAGATACTGCTATGTATATTTAAAAAAAATAAAACCTGCAGAATGATTTTGACTTCTTAGGGCTTTTTAAAAGATGAACATATCATGTGAAAGACACTACTTATGAACCACTTCCAAATTAAACCAAGGATGTGTACAAAACAACCCATCACTGCACTGTATCCTTTTTTTTGTTTTCTTTTCTTTTGTTTTCTTAAAAACTTATAGGGATGACATTGCTAATATTATAAGTAGATTATTGGAAGTATAATTATCTCTAGGATGTGGTAATTTTTTAAGATAAATGGTTGTCCAATCTCTTTCTTCTACAGTATACCATTTACTGAAATGGTAAAAGTGTTTCTACCTGAGCAGGGGGTTGGACTAGAAGACCTCCAAGGTCCCTTCAATTTATATTATTCTGTTATTCTGTTAAATACTTTAGCTCTAGAAAGCTAACATCAACCAAACACTTTTTAGGTCAAATAATACTTTCAATATTCCTAGTGATTGGTCCTTCTAAGTCTATTTATAATTATTTAGAATTCCAGATGAACTAGTGCTGATTATTTCAATTATATTATGTCCTTTACCTAGCTCACCCTAAACATTATATTACAGTAATAATGAATTCCTATAGAGAAAGAGTTTCCTTTCATCAAAATTTCTGATTAACTTTTTATGAGTACAGAAGAATAAGGTAGTACAGCACAAACAGACCAATTATTTACCTTAGATCTGAAGGAATACAAGTATCTACTAAATAACCCAGTTTACTAATAAGAATGTTTAACTTCTTTATAGATTGGACATATACTTTTTAAAAAACTTTCTGTGTAGATAGAAGCTTTCCAATTGCCACTGCAGCTAGTTCCTAGAAGAGATATTGTCAGAAGGATATCCTGTGTACCTTTGCTTGCCTTCAGTTCACTAATAATTGACCCCAAAGTGCAGGCATATGCACACAGCTTTAATCCCCAACTGAATATCTGAATCAGGGGAAAATCTGGAATTACTTGTAAGGTATTTTGGTTTCTAATGCAGCTGTTACAAGTGTTGTATTTGGCAAGGGAACAAAAAAAAAAGGCGCTGCATACCAATTTCGTGAGCCACTGTAAAAGCCGCATGGAGGCCGTCATCTTCAATCACTGCACAGCTGCGCTCAGGAGAGCATATGGTTCCAACGTCAGCCATTCCCAGAGTATCACATGAATGATGCCCACATAAATCCTACAAGGAAGGGAAGGGAAAGAAAGCATTTGAAGCAGTTTGCACCCACAGGGTCTGATAGTTTTGAACTGCAGTCTGATTACCAACAGTAAGGCCAAATAAGGATTATAGCCAAGATAAGGACAAAGACATCAATAGCTATGTTTTGGAGCATCCTGTCAAAAAATGGTGCCCTGCAAATGTGTTGTGACTGCAATTCCTAGCTAGGAATCCTAACAAGAAGTCAAGAGAAATTATATTTCAATGGTCTAGACAGCACTAGGCTGGGGGAATCTGTCTTTGGGCTTTTCCTTCAAGGACCACAAAATCCTAACTGCTGGTCGCCAAAATCAAATTGAAACTGTTCATTTATCGCAAAGAGTAATGCCACGTCTTGAATTACTGTAGTTGCCTTCATTTATACAATTATTATTTTAAGAAATCAATGCTCTACTAAACTGTAGCATTTGCAATGGTGTATTGGAGGGAAGACTAATTTCTGTGTATGCAATTCTAGACCAGGAACGGTATTACAATGTATTTGTGGTGCAATGATGATTGCTGATGAAGGTCAGTACTGATCACCTTATACACTGTAATCCTTCCTGAGCCTTTTCTATAGATAATCTCCAACTTGAGCCCTACATTTACAGAATATAAAAGAAATGTTTTTGTTGGGACATTTCCCTTCTTTTCTTCTAACGTCTTCTAACTCGCTAATCTCAGGTCTGGTAAGGTGAATGACATCATTGTGTTTAATGATTATTACAGCTGGAAGGCCTAAGTTCAGTATGATTTAGAAACATGATTGGAATACAGTCACTGAACTCACTTTAGTGTCAACTTACATGATAAGGAGCTGATGAGATAACTAAATCATTAAGATTACTGGAAGATGAAGGTGTGCCTCTGAATCAGTCTTAAATCCTGGTGATTGCATGAATGAACCTCTGTAGTTGCTTTTTTCCTAGGCCTGAAAGAGTATGATTGGCCCAATCACTTAGCTGGCTTCATGCCTAACTCAGGCTTCTCAGTCTCCTGGCTTCTAGCTTGGTACCTTAACCACTCCACCAATTTCCATATAAACAATTTCCATATAATAATAAAATAGGAGAAAAAGGAGAATACAATTGTCTCTGGTGAAGAAGGCATAAATTATGCATATATTCAGAAAGCAAGTTGAGCATTTATCTGCAGTGATTCTATCATATTTTAATTTTATATTAAATCATGTCTTTTTTTCCTTCCCATAGGGAAATTTAGCAATTATAAGTAAAAATGCAATAAATGGACACTAAATGGCAATTCGGAACATGTAATGTTATTATGACGTTAGGAGCTATTATGCAATGCTTAATTGTGTTATTTGTGAGTTCCACAAAAGTAAGGACTAATTATTTGTGAATGGTTAAATCATAGTGTAGGAGTGTTTAACTGTGCTAGAAATATGAATATATATGAAATTTATTGAAATTTCCTAATCTGCAGGGATATACTGTAGTGTTTGCTGTCTAGTACTCCTGGAGATATGAAAAGTCTGTTTGGGCTGGGAGAGAATTTGTTTCATCAAATATATTATAAAGCAATTGCATTTTGTGGACATCTGTGTTAGCAAAACTGTTCTTTATATTTTTGCTGCTTCAAAGTGAGCATCTTTTAATGAAACATACTTGTTGGCTTCTGGGTATTTTTTTTTTTGACTGGCAGGGAAAAAAATGATCCCTGTTGATTTGATATTCTTGGCCAAGGAAACATTCTGGAAAGATGGCAGATGGGTAAAGCTTAGGTACTAAGAAGAGAGATGAACTCTTCCTGGCACAATTGATACTATGCAATTATTTAGCCAACATGAGAATTTCTTCTGCTACACACTTTCCCAAATGTGGATGCAAAAATGTAAATATATAAAATAACAATGAGCAAAGAAAAACATTAAAAGAAAAGCATTTTGAGTACTTGCAAAATTAACTCCATTTTAAAGATAAACGATAATAAAACTATGCATTCTTTATAATTAACTTTTCCACTGTATTTGTTTAACAGTCTTGTGAAGCAATATTGTAGTGCTATCTTGCTCTGACTTGTCTTTCAAAATAAGGATCTGGTAAAAATACAACTTAAGGACAACCTGCATCCCTGATTTTTATACTAAATAGATATATTAGATATCCTTATTACGGTAATTTAATGAATGTTTGAATGTTTGAAAAGGAAAATACGACTTATATAGGATCAATGATTCTTGCCTTCAGATGGCATACAAGAAAATATAATGTAAGAATAATTTATCCAAATTCTGTAATTCTCCCCATGAAAGATGAACTGGCAACCAGTACTTATTCTGAAACGGAAGTAAATAATTTTGATTCTCTTGTGATTACATGACAGGATGACAGGTAGGGGGAAGAGTGCACAGGCTTATCATGAGGTTAGGTTAATTCCTGACATGCTAAAACATGGCATTCCACAAGATCAAGATGCTGCAACTTGGACACATATGGATTAACTTAACTTGAATTTATCACCCATAGAAAAATGGAATACGTTAATCATAATACAAGCATTCATGATATTAGGAATTTATCAAATATACTTTTATCTTAAAGCATTAAGGAATATTAATGAGCACCTTAATATTCAGGTGGCCATCATTGAATGATGTTTAATTCAGGAATTGTTCAAAGTTAACAGTGGAATGACGGGGGCTTTTGACTGGCCTTTATTATTGTGGCAATTGCAGGATCTCTGCAATCATGTGATCATGATTCAAGGGCTTGGCAACTGGCTCACAATCATGATATTGCTGCTTCCCACAGTCATATGATCACCATCAATGACCTTAAATGCTAGCTTTGGACAGGCAAAGTGAATAGGAAACCTAGCAGGAAGTTGCAAATGGTGATCATATAATTGGGGGCACTGCCGTTACATGGAGTTCACCTAACAATGACACCTGCCACAGTGCCATCATAAGTTGGGGCAGTCACATGACATTGCATATTATGGCCATGTCACGTAGTGATGAGTTACCGGTTCCAATGATCATCAATAAGCAAGGACTAATTGTAGCCGCAAAATGCAAGTTTATCTTGCAAGTAGAGGATTATCATTTCCATGTTACATAAATAATTATTCCAATTAACTATGAACTGATCAAAACCTCATTATGAGTATTATGTTCACACTTCAAATTCAAATAAATTGGTGTGAGTTAAAAAAGAAAAAAGAGAAAAAAATATTAAATGCTAGAAACTAAATCTACGATGAAAGATTAAATTTGGTAAATTTACTCTTTTAAAAAAATGAGAAAAAATGAGATGCAACCTTGTTCTTTATCATTCAAACAGTGAATAATGTACTTGAAATTACATGAAATAATCTGGATGAAACTCATCCTAGAGTCCTGTAAAAGTTATAATGGAGGAGCAAATGCTCAAAGGCTGCTCACCATTCCTTATATGTTGAATTCTGCAGGGCTCCTACCATTCTGTGATACTGCTAATTATAGCAAGTGTATATTCCATACACAGTCTATGTAAGTAGGCATATACGTTTATACACTGTATATTGTATATGTATGTGTGTGTGTGTCTACTATACAATCTAGAACTTTAAGGTCACAGCTTTTTTGTGAGCAGAGCTTATTCTTTGTATTTCTACAGAAATACGTTATATGACTGTGCAAGATATTTCTTGCCCCCAAAGTGAATGGGAGAATGCCTCATTATTCACAGCAGAGGCTTGAGAGTCAATCTGCAGTATGTTCAAGAATGGGCTTATGACAGTAAATGGGGCAAAACTCTGATTAAAAGCAGCACCTGTGAAAACAGTTCAGATGCTCTCTAGGAATCATTCCAATCATGCCAATTCCATTCTTTATAGAATATGTGGTTAAGTAAGTGCCTTTTCAATAATGTTGTTTTTACAAGAAACCGGCCAGAAAATCTATCAGCAGGTTGCCTTACTTCTTCAAATCCTAGATTATCTTGTTTCATTCAAAGATTTCTTTTACTAATTTATCACTTCCATGAAAATTACATACACCAATAATGATATTATTAATATCCTGCACAGTAGTGATGCTTAGCCACCAATGTGTAACCTCTTAGTGAATTTTTATTTTACAAAATGAAGACAGAGACTTTGAGACTCTGTTTTTAAATTACTGTTATTCTATAGTTGTCCATATCTTTCCACAACTGCATTTGTTCAACTTCATTCAAGAAAGTTGTTAGATTTGGCATATTATATTGTTGAATTTAGGAAGCAGTCAATGTCTGACCTCTTTAGGAAAACTGGATAATCCATTTTCATTAAAATTAAATTTAATTACATCTGTTGTTGTTGTTTAAAAAAACCTCATGGTGCCCTGTTTGTTATGTCCAAATCTTTAAAAATTAAAGTGACTGCTAGTTTAATGCAACTCTCTCTGACCTTTACATGGCTGCCTATGGGAGTATCCAATGTGAATGCTTCATTGAGAGAAGTGTCCTAATAGGCTTTTACTAAATGGGAAAGAATAATTATTTAGTTTTCTCTGTCTTTTCCCCATTTCCACTGATCAAGTGGAAAAAACAGGTGATCTGAGAAGACCAGATATACACATAAATACACATTTGGCACCCATTATAACACCATACTCTGTTGGGAAAATCAGGCATCCAATATTTCCACAGATAAAATATCTATTACTGTGATACTATATATTATTAACTATTATATAATATGGAATTATTAGGATAAGAATTGAGGCCTTTGAACTATGGTGCTGGAGAAGACTCCTGTGAGTCCCTTGGACTCCAAGGCGATCAAACTGGTCACTCCTAGAGGAGATCAACTCTGACTGCTCTTTAGAAGGACAGATCCTGAAATTGAAACTCAAGTACTTTGGCCACCTGATGAGAAGGAATGACTCACTGAAGAGAAGCCTAATGCTGGGAAAGATTGAGGGTAATAGAAGAAGGGAACAACAGAGAATGAGGTGGCTGGATGGAATCACTGAAGCAGTAGGCGTGAGCTTA